CGTTTCCTGCCAAAGAATCCTCGAACCAGGTTTCGGACGGGAAGATAGTCTACTGAAGGTGGTGGATTGAGAAGATAGGTAGTCTATAGTTCGATGATTCTAATCCAATATTGGACCTGTAGAAAATGGCAATTTTGAACCCGGCTGAAAAAAAGTTTTCGTTTTGAAAATCCGAAGTAATCGGAAAAGTAACTATTACTTTTTCTATTACATTTCTTCCGAAGTAAACAATGAATCTAATTGAATACTTTTTCACCGAGAGTATAATTGTAATCGAGTACTTTTTTTCGATTAATGTGCACGAGGCTGGTCCTGCCTTCAGCGCGATCTTCCTTCGATGTCCCCTTGGCGTCTCGTCAACCTGGAGCGTGCACACGCAGCAGCCGAAGCAGGACGGAAAACAAAAAGGGCATGCAAAAAGTCGGGCACCCGAAAAAGACGCTGTGCCGTTCTCATCCTGTCAGCGATTATTGGACTACCCCCTTCCTGTTTTTAACGAAACGCCGACAGCAAAAAAAAAAAAAAAAAAACAGTTTAAATTATTTAAAAAAAAGTTATAGTTCGGTGTTGATTAGCAGCATAAATACTTGCGCACGTGTTCATGACAATCAACTTCATGCGCATACTCCCCAGCTGTCTTGTTAACTTGCCAAAACCTGACGATATCAGGTCGCGCTCAAAGGTATGTTCAGCTGACCGACGAAGGGGTTAATTGTGTCACTCACTGGCAAGATCTTCCTCAATTTCCACCTCGAGTGTATCACACCAACTTATCGTGAGGCCGTGTACAGTTGGGGAAAGTTCTGCTCAAACGCACAAATCGTCACTTCGCAAAAGGAAAAAAAAAAAAGCCTCAGAAACTGCACAATTCTGATATTTTAAAGCACAAGTTACAATATCTGCGACAAAACTAGCGTTCAAAAATATAAATGAGAAATTGCTAAGCAATGGTGTTTCATACGTGAGACGTTCGAGCCTCACAAACATTTAGTGATAGTCTCACTGCGCTCTTCATAAGATAGTTTAACCATCTGTACACTCGTTACTTTGTTCCTATAGAATGAAGCGATACTGCCGCTAATCGGGCTGACAAACCCGGCGATCTTCCAGAGCCTTTCATACTCTCGAGCTCCTCTCCCTCAGTGCGCACAGGTGGTCGAGCTCCTCCTCACCTAGCCCTCTGGTCACATGACCTCCCCCGTTAACCAATCAGCATCGAGCTTCACGGCCACGCTTATCAGGCTTTACAAAATGCTTAACACCTACAGTCAGTTACAGGTCCTCTGGGACAGGGCCGTACCCAGAAAAAAATTTCGGGGGGGGGGGGGGGGGGGGTTTCGGGGACAACGGCGGCCATTTTGAAAGTGTCTATTGTCTTATTTTTGCCTATGAATCATGTGCATCAGTGGCATATAATGGAGAGTTACAGCAAACCGGAGAACCGGTCCCGGTTTGGTACCCGGTAGCCGACCAGCGCCACTGCGCGTGCGCAGAGGTGGAGATTAAAATCGGCTGGCTGCAAGTGCACCGACCAGGGCCGTACCCAGAAAAAAATTTCGGGGGGGGGGGGGGGGGGTCAGAACCCCCCCCCCCCCCCCCTGGTTACGGCCCTGCTCTGGGAGTTCACTACTCTCACGCGTCCTTGATCGCCCGAACTCCCGCTTTGGCTATTTGGCGAGACAGTTCGAGGATCTTACAGGACCACCCGGACCTATCCCTCCACTCTCGTAGCCCTATCTAGAAGTACCACTGACGATAAGTGAAACCCTCCCTTACATGCATAGCAAGGCGAGTGTTTCTGGGACAATTTCTCGCCTTTTGACCCAGGAAGTACTCTACACAGAGTATATTGGATGGCTGCAAGTATACACCGACGGTTCCACTAGCTCGGCGAGAGGAACTACCACGACAGCAGTCTTCATCCCAACTCACAATGTCTGCATTGCAGACAGACTGAACATCGCCACAACCTCTACTACTGCGGAGCTGGTGGCCATTTGGCGGGCTTTGGAGCTGCTAGTGTGAAGTGGAACGCCAGGGAGAGCAGTCATCCTCACAGATTCGAAATCTGCTCTTCATCTTCTCCAGAACCTCGAGACTGGCACTCCATTGACTGCAACAACTGTAGCATCTGCCAAGTCGGCTGAAAGAAAGGGCTGGCAACTTGCTTTTCAGTGGGTTCCTGCACATACTGGAATTGCGGGAAATAGGAAAGCGGATGCCCTCGCTACTGAAGCCCATGGACTTGAGACCCCAACCATTTCCCTTCGCCGGTACAACGAAGCATGGCGATTTATACGGAATTTCTACCAGAAGCGCCACCCACACCGAGAGACGGCTGAAGGACGCCCCCTCCAGCAATCCCCCGCAAGCTGTCTAGAGAACAAGCGTCAATGTTACATCGGCTGAGGGCAAACTGCGCAAACACAAGATCAACTCTGCACAAGCTTCAACGAGTCAATAGTCCTGATTGCCTACACTGTGGAGCCCTAGAGGATATTGAACACGTGCCACTAGTATGCACAGAATACGAAGAAGAGCATAAAACCTTGTTTCAACGCTACACTTTCAATAGACTACCTTCCTCCACGACTCGGGAACTCCTCATCCCGGAAGCCCCACGTCGGCTAGTCCAGAGGGCTTACGAAGACCTCATTTTTTGAGTCAGACTGGTTTGGCAGACCGTCTTTGACCAAATACCGCACTCCGCAAACAGCAAGGTTGTTAAATTGAAACCCGCACTTGTGCCAAAGCCCCATCATTTTATTGGAGTGGTTTCAAAATTGCCAGACCATTTCTTTTAGCCACCCTACGGCTCCTCCCCTCTCCCCAAGCCGTGTAGCGACTCGCCCCGTACAGGAGGCCAACATCTCTCCCGGCTCTCCTTTCCTTCTCTGGACCTCATAACAAGAAGTTACAGGTTAAGAAAAGTTTTCGAGGGAAAGGAGGGCTGGGGGAGGAGGAAGCGAACGGAACGCCGGGGAGGAGAGGAGGAAACATCCTCCCCCCTCCAGCATTCCGTCTGCTTCCACCTTCCCAGCCTTCCTTTCCTTCAAAAACTTTTCTTAACCTGTAACCACCCATAGCAAAAAAAAAAAAAAAAAAAAATATTAAGAGTTTTGTCAACGCCACCTAGAATACGAGGCCTGTGCGCGCTCAGGATTTTGATGCCATCCCAGTGAGGTGGAGCGCAGACACAGCTTGCTCACGAGTGCTGCGTCAGTGTTTGGCCGGTGTCCAGTCAACGCGTCCAAAGACGCTGTGACGTGACTCGAAGATAGATGAGACTGTTTACCGGCTTTGGTTATGCTCTATACTTCGTTTCACCTTAAGCCCAAACGCAGCTGACGCTGCGAGCGCATCAAACCAATCAGACGGCGTCAAAAGCGCACCGTCATGGTGTTCGTAATTTTTCTGTACGTGTTCTATCATCACCGAAACAACAGTACACGGAAAGAAAGGCATGGTGACTTGCGCTTATGATGCTGCTCGATCGGTTACATTACCTCGTAACGTTGGCTGGTGTTGGCTCTACCGAGGATCTCACGTTTGTCACTAGCGCTGTGACATGCCAGAGCCGGCCAATAAAATGCTGAGTCACCGAACCGTGGACGCAGCGTCTGATATACCGCACAACACAACAGAGCAACAGCTCGCGCAGGCTCAGAAAGCGTTCCACGGGCCCAGCAGACAAATATGGCAGTGCGCTGAATGCTATCTTTGGAAATTCGTTTGCCTGTTGACGCCGCCGCGATAGAAAACGAAAGGATCGATCACAGTCTTCTCGAAAATTCTGCAGATTTCGTCTTCGATTCGTTGCTTTTACGAGAACCATGAGGCTCTCGCGGCGCAATCTTCGGGGCCAATTGAACCTTTCAAGCGGTCGCTTCTTAGAGCGAATACACGGGCGCACGTTGGGACGCGCAATAATCGGATTGGCAGCATTCGTTTCGGCATTACCACATCGTGTACAGTCTCCAACAATACGAAAGACCCAATTGGAGTGGCAGTTTCAGGCGACATTGCTGGATTTGTTTCGGCGATAGCTTAAGGCGAGGAAAGAAACAAATCATCGTTATATTCTCCCTCTAAAAAAAAAAAAAAAAATTCACAGGGTTTTTTATGTTATCCGTGAAACGACTTGAAGGCGAAAGATAAGCGCTGATGCATTAAGGACAGACGCATGATTTACTGTTTCACGTTCACTTTTTTCACATTCTCTTAAGTTGTTTCACATGTTATTTCCAGATTTCACGCACACAATTCCTCGTACTCCCCTGACTTCTCTTTAATTCCTCTTCACTTTGATTATTCGTAATTCACTTTGATTCCTCTTGTTTCGCTTTGTCATCCTTCTTAATTTCATTGCCTCTAAATCGCCTGAGTGGTCACGTAAACGTTTTGGTAGCTTTTGTGTCGCCGACGTGTTTTTGCTCAAGGACTTTAAAGGTCGAATGAACGATGATACATATAAGGATTTCGCCTTAAAAAGATTCTCTGGTAAAGGAGTGTTTAGCACCACCGCATGAACTGCCTCATATACGAATGAGCATCTTATACTGTGTGCACAAATCGTACGAGGGCGAATGTGGCGCAGCTCTGGACAGAGCCCTTTGTGGGACTCGCACCTGGCTCTGGAAGGCATGCTCTAAAGAAAAGCTAGACAAGCTCATTCCACAAAGCACTCCTCTCTTTCCACTTTAGCAGAGCGAACGGCCGGAGTTGAGGCGACTGGACAGCAGGACACCACCAATCACGGCGAGCATAGAGCTCCGTGGAAGCGCCACACTGCGCATCATCCTTCAAAAACCAGAGATGTTCGCCCCACGCATGAGGACAATTCTCCAGACAGTTTTTGTATTACCAATGATACAAAACCGTCATACGGATGGATGGATGTTAATGGCTATAACTTTGTAACGGGTGGTAGCTTGCGCCACCTTGCCTAAGTCTAAAAGAAAGAAACAGTCAGTGTCTGCAGACCGTCTTTTGTTTTCCAGCTGCGTGGCTTCGAGGACACCTACATGCTCCGCAAGATGGACACGCCGGACAGGTCCCGGCGCTCGGCAAGACGCGTCACGAAGAGGCTTGCAATGGACCAGCGGGTAAGCACCCTAAAGGCCCGTTCACACTCTTGCGACCGAGTACGACTGAGAGAGACGAGATCTCTTACAACTTCTTAAATGTTTCTAGAATGAGGGGACACAGTGACATTGTGGCGCCATCTATGCGGTGACCCTAGAACTGCATTTCACAAAAGCGAAGGTTTTGCGGGATTTCCGAGGTCAAATGTGCGTAATACCCATAGAAAGGCTCGTTTATAACATTGACAAAAGTTTTCCGAGCCAAAAAAGAAAAAATATTGCGCGAGAAATAAAAAAAAAAAAAAAAATATGCCGGACCGCCGAGTTTACACTGCTTCCCAATAGATGGCGCCAGTGTGTTCTCTGGTTTAAGAAGTTTTAAGGAACCCAGGTTTAAGAGGTCGCAAGCAGTCGCAAGAGTGTGAACGGGCCTTTAAGCGCGAAACACATGTACGACAAAACCGTCCGATCCGACGTGCGGACTGCCGGAACGACCTTGGGGGGAGAGGGTTTTCGTAGCCTCGGAGAGCGTTGAAAACCCTCGCCTCCGACCGTCGTATTGCGCGGTCGGACGTCGGATCGGACGGTTTCGTCGTACATGTGTTTCGCGCTTTATACGAGAGGGCCCAGCGGCGAGCTGCAGGGTTTCCTTCGTCCGAAGCAGTGCGAGTCACGCACAAACTGTAACAAGAGGCGTGTTTCTCGTTGAAAAGAGAGCTCATGAGAGCCGAGTCACACACTATAGACGCTGGGCTGATACATTAGAGCAGAGCGCTGCACAGGCCCGGGCCAGCCAGAAGCTTCGAGCCCGACCCGGCCCGCAGGCTGGGCTCGGGCCGGGTAGCAGGCATTTTTTCGTGCTCTGGCCGGGCTCGGGCTTGAACAAAACATTTTACTGGCCGTGCCTGGTAGTCGTGTGCCGCAAATTCTGAATTGTTAAGAACAAAAAGTGTGCTCATTGATCTTTTAACTTCAGTGAAAACAAGCAGAGCGAAGTGCAAAATCCCTAAAACGCCGTTACAAAAAAAAAAGAAAAAAAAGAAAATCAATTTGTAAACAAAAAGTGAAAGACGTTTAGAAATATTTGTAATGCGAAATTAGAGCGTCGCTCTTGAAGTATTGTGATTTTGCGATTAACCGTGCTAAACAATTTGAAAAAGAAAGAAATATATCTACAAATAAAAACCACTATCCTCACATGCTCTCCCAGTCCTTGATTGTTATGAAGGAAGCCTTGTGATCTGATAAGTGGCAGGATATGAGTTCGAGGTGCTGGACTAAGCACTGATGTTGAAATACGAGGTCTGTGCATGTGTTTCGAGAGGTCGTCACAGCAGTGGGGGGAGGTACAAGGGAGAGAAATGGGGGAGGGTATGCAAGAGGGGAGGGTACGGAGGAGGAGGTGGGGAGGGTCCAGAGGAGGAGGAGAGGTGGGTGCTGAAGAGGAGACGGGGATCACGTGATCATTTTTCCGCACCCTTCTCCTAATCCGTGTCCTCTTCCATTCTCCCTCCTCTTCCGTACCCTCCCCTCCTCCTCCGGTTACGGCGACGGCAACGCTGCAAACTACGCGACCGAGCGCCTAAGAGCTGCGCTCTAAAATACGTCTTGCACTTGAAAATCCTTCAGTAAAAAACAGAAAAACTTACGGATTTTATTAGCATAGTGGAAAATGCGCACTTTATGCTTCGACAGATTTTAGGTTAAAGCCTGCATACTTTTTCGGGTTCATGCCTATAATTAGGGTTCTGCGTTTTCGGTTTCTATTTTTTCAAAATTCGGCGTACTTTTTTCGGTGTTTATTTTAAAATTCGATTTTCGGTTTTTTTCGGCGTATATTTATGATCACAAAAGTTTATCTGCTTTTTTCGATGAATATAAAATAAACACCAACGGACACCAGATCGGATGATCCTTGTAGCTCTGATATTTGTGATCACTCAAAAAATAACGCCACACGTATACATTGAAAAAGAAATGGACACTTTATTTGGCAAATATGTGCAGCTATAAAAGAAACAAGGAAAAACCTGAGAAGCACGAACAAGCCAGATATGAAGCCTATGCCCGAAAAACATAGAACTTTACCTTCTGTACATCAGGATTACGTTATCTTATAATAGTACACCCAGATGTACGTTTCCAGGTTCTCCTCATTGATGCGCACTCTTTCTTTCCTGTTAATATGACCCTGAGCTTCGGGAATGCCCTCTCAACGCCAACACTGGACAGTGGCAGGCTGAGGAGATGAAGCGCTGCCTGAGCCAAAATCAGCCAATCAACCAATTGTGACCGCCAAAAGAGAGACGGTGCGACTTTGTGAAGCTCAACACAGCATGCAGAACTTGCATCAAGTCAGTCTTCCTTACAACGAGTTCGAGAACACGCTCGTACATGGCGAAGTTATGGGGCATTTCGGACTTCACGTTCCGATCGATGATGCGCGCATTATTCCAAAACGTCGAGATGGCATCCGTATCCCATACATTCGGACACGTTTCGATAGACACTGTCGTTCCACGTTTTCGCCACGGCTCTGCGGTACGAGTGGAAGGTCAAAGTGACCTTTTACAGTTAAAACTGAATTTTAGGAAATTGATTCGACGTACTTTTTTCGGTTTTAATAAAAATGCCGAACCTAAAAACTGACCTTTTTCGGTTAAAACCGAATTTCCGAAAATGAATTCGGCGTACTTTTATCGGTTTTTATCGATTTAAGCCGAAAACTCCGAGCCCTACCTATAATCTGTCGGGCTTAAGCCGGGGTCAGACTCATATTTAAAAAAAAATGTTTTCGGGCTCGGGCCGTGTCCGGGCTGGGTCTCTACCGGGCCTAAAGATTAAATATTCTGTCGGGCTCTGGCCGGGCTTGTCTTTACCGGGCCGCGTCGGGCCGGACCTAAAAGTTACAAGTTCCTGTCCGTGCAGTGCTCTACATTAAAGGGTTTTAGTAGATTGTTCCGATGACTCCGATAACGATAACCAATACCCCGCTGCCACATTCGCGCGGGCATCGCATCGTTATGGGATATCGTTATCGGGGGTATCGGAACGGCCGACTGCCTCAAAATACGTAGAAGTCGGCCCGCAGTGAACTCTTATTAAAACTGTCAATAAATATCAACTGCTTTTATTCCATATGAAAATATGTAGCTCATAGAAATAAAGAAGGCAACACACGAAGAAAAGTTTAGTCTATAGCTTCTGTCGAACTCCATTTTAAAGGCTTCATGGGCGACGCTTCGCGCGCGCAGAGAATGGAAAGATTTTTTTTGCCACTTTTGCCACGAGGAAGAAGCCGGAACTAGCTTCCCGTCGATCGCGCCCAACAACGCCGTGCCGCGCAAAGACAGCGAAGGGGGCAGCTCTGGCGTCCCGGCAAGAATGGCGAGACGAAAGGAGACCCTTCGTGTCGTCTGCTTGAAAGACTTGTTTTCAAACATTACTCGCGTTATGCGAAATCCCACTTTGGCAGTATGATGTTGCATCGCGTAATGTCGGATGGTTTTAGAAACTTCCAACGCACTTACCCACTTACTTCACGAATCATTGAGCACTGGTGATAGTCGTCAGTGGCATCCAGGACGCCAACAACGACGGCTATGACAATTAACTACATTGCACCTCCGTCCTTAGGTACGTGATGCGGCACCATTCCACCCGCATTGCGCGACCGCGCTACTGCTATTGCTTTCGTTTCTTCGCACATTGTGGGCGAAAAATACGAATTTTTACAGCACAGGTTGGTTACACCCATAAATACATTCCCCCACACCAAATGCCTCTATGTCAGCCTTTTAACTATCAGAGACAAAGAGTAAAAACCAGCGATCGGGTACGTTCTTGCCGCCAACAGTTCAGGCGATCGACGAGAGCCATGGTGTCGGCGTGCCCTGTGGAAAAGCAGACCCGCAGGCGAAGTCCATCGTGTATATCTCTTTACCAGGTGCTCTGGGCCGAGCAGCAAGAGGTCCGTGTTCGGGACAAGCGGCATGGACCTACCGAGGAACAACAAGCCCTAAGGTTCAACGACCCGCTGTGGAGCCGCCAGTGGTACATTGTGAGCCCTCCCTTTTTTCGCCTCTGCTACACGGAAGAAGGAATGGCGCCCTCCTGCGAGCAAAATGTACATTGTTGAGGCTGTCTTACGCCTTATTCACATGATGTGAGAAAAAAAAAAGCGTGGTGGAAGTTGTTGTACGCGTGTCAATCGTGGAACCTACAATATCGCAAGCAAAATCGTGTGAATCAGGCTTTAATTTGTAGACATTTGCGTTTCACTGTGATCGACTGCGACGTGACACCAACATGGTGTTTACAAACAAGCCCCATTGCGCTTGCGCCAAACCCGATTCGCGTGAGAGGAAGAGTTTGCGCGTGCGCAGTGCCGACAGCAGCGCCACCGCAGTGATGTGACGTAAGAGAGCTCAGTTGGTGTGTGTATGCGTATATTTTCTTCAAGTCCCGTGTCCCCGTCTCGTCACTCTGGCTGGCACATTTAACATCAGAGGCAGGCCTCAATGCCAAAGCATCCGTTCTTCCCCTATAGGAACAGAAGAGACTTTGGGGGAGCCAAATCATTTAGGTCCATGCAGCTCAACAGAGTCAGCAGGAGCTTGCTTCGTCGGTCGGGGAATTGCCCGCGCTCGCCTGAGCACGTGTTCACACATTTTCACACCGGAACCTCCTGAACCCGGCGATTTTCTAAAATGGTCTATTAGGAGGACTCCTGACATAAGAAAACCCCGAGCTTCACGGGAAGAAATCTTTATATACATCCCATGCCCGTGTTTTGCTTTCTTCTACATCATCCCAAATAAACGCAGTTTCAAGTCCGACCCCGAAAACTGGCGCCACAAAAAACCAAATATGCAATAAAAAATACTCTCCCCTCCAAAAAATAAAAAAAGAAAGAGAAAAAAAAAAAATATATATATATATATATATATATATATATGCGAAGTCAAATAGGACACCTGAAACACGGAACCGTATGTTACGACTCCTTGCGTTTGATTACAACTCGTTCCGTGGACATCGGCTGCCAAAGCAACCATCTCGTCGAAAGCACGTCATAGTCTCTCATAATCAAACGCAAAAAAAATGTCTGAACCACAGTTTATCCGCGACAGCATTGCAAGGGAAACAAAAAAATGTGGTAGCTTGTCCGATATCTCGTTTTGCTTCGAGTATAAGGCCATCTGCCACTACGCTGTGCACCTTGAATCCACGTGTCAGTCACAAATAGGCCGTAGATTTTAAGGCCCGTTCGCACACTTGCAACCGAAAAGGACTGACTGAGACAAGAGTGGTTTTTAAGCCTCTTGCGACGTCCTATAAGACCGGATGTGATGCTGCGGAGCTGGTCCTGTGCCGTCGAAAGAGGCTTGAAAACCGGTCTTGTCTCCGTCGGTCCTACTCGGCTGCAAGTGTGTGAACGGACCTTTACGCTCTTTATTTACGAAACAAATCGGCGAATGATTTTCGGTGTTCTTACTTTTCAAATATCGGTTTATTTCGGTAATGTTTGGGACGGGGGCGAAAAACGGTGATTATCGATGAAAAAAAACAACAAAAAACTATTCATATCAAAAAAATGTTTAGGACAAAAAAGAAAAAAAAAAAGAGAAAGAAAGAAAGCAGTGGAGGAAATGTTTTTCTTCAGAAATCGGTGCTTTTCTGTTTTATATTGCATCTTGACACCGACGGATGTTTATCGGTACCTTTCGGTTACAGACCTTTCCAAAAAAGGGCTCCAGGCCGGTTCCATTTTCAGTGTTGGAGCGTATGACGCGTGATTTGCTCGCTTTCCGCAGCGACAAACTGCGCGTGCTTGGCTGAAGAAATCGCACGCTGGGCTGAGGATTCGTAAATATTAGAATGGCTGCCAAAGCTGCTGGCGCGAGCATGGGGGGTGATCTTGCAGATCATTTGCACGCGTCCTCGCGCACACGAAACCACGGATAAAGCCACGCGCTTGCGCCAATAGCTTCGACAGCGTTGTATACTATAGATATGAAACAGAGTATAGTATTAGTGGCGAGATGTTTTGGTGGCGCCCTCCTATGGTTCCCCCTTGTGACGTCATTACCTTGCGAACAACAAGTTCGATGGTGTTTGTAAATAGCATGGTGGAAGCCTGAAATCATTGCGCTCTCAAAGCAACACTGCCAACACCGTCGAAATCAAAGTTCTTTCATTCCTCTTATTTCCGTCGATGGTATACCCTTTCCGACGTCATAGTCAGCTTTTGGGCCAATCGTGGAAGGCCGACCACAGCGACGCTTTCGGTCGCACACGGGGCTAATAGGAACCACGCGACATGCCAACGAAAGTCGCACGGAGCAGCTCGCGGACAGATGTTTGCAGAAAGTGCGCGACGTTGATGCAGCACGACACGCGATCCTCCCCGGACCTTCCGGAGCTGGACCACCGGGTGACTCAGGTGTGGGACATGGGGTTCACCGGGAAGGGCATCGTGGTCACTGTCATGGACGACGGTGAGTGTGCCTGCCACGGCTGAGGCGCGCGTTCGGAAAAAGCTGGTGAAGTAAGTCCAATTGGCCCTTTGATCAGAGCGTTTGCATGTACGTCACATCGTCTGGTTCATAGGGAAAGAAAGAGAAGGAAAGGGCGGTAAGGGGGGGGGGGGGAGCGAGGCTTGGGTAAACACGTTTGTGATTAGCCCGCTAGCATTTAACCTGCTCCAGATTTGCTTACCCGATGTGCGTAGGCAAATCTTTGGGCCGGTGGTCATTGCGTATGCCGAAATCGCCACGGTGGTTGTTTGGGCATACGGAATAACCACTAACGTAGTTAGTGGTTATTCCGTATGCCGGTATACCCGAAATGCAGTACCCTTATTCCGTATTTAATACCTCTCAACTTTTTGGGTTGGCTTTCAATTTCGCGTAAACTAGGAAAAGAACGCTTCTCAGTCAACTCCTTTCGAAAGTTACGTACCGATTGATAGGAGATCTTACCATAGCCTCCTCTATACTCACAAAGCCTGGCAGTTTGACGACGGAGCCATGAGTGCCCGGTCGCAGATTTGGAGCGCGAGGATCTGGTAGCACAGAGCATTTCTTGGGGGGTGCGGTAGTGAGCGCACGGCTTTCGCACCAGCGAGGACCCGAAACATGGTTTTCAAACTCGACGAGAAAAGAAGCGGTAGCGCGAGGAACACCAGGATTACGAAAGGACATTCCATCGCTCGGGAGAAGTGTGTTTCGGCGCCTCGCCGCAGCGGGGCGGCCGTCACCTGGGTCTCCTCTCATCCGTTGTCTGCCACTCTACCTTTTCAATTTCGGCGGCCGCGTCTCGTGCCGATCTGCCAGGCTTTGCCACTATAGAGAAGGCTATGATCTATACCTACTGTAAAATGGTGTAACAACCGACACCGCGGAACGTGCAAATAGCACGAGCGAGTAACTTCGGCGCAGTCGAACGCTAGGAGCTTGCGCTTGTGGCCGCCATTGTGCAGGGGCTCTACGGCCTCTTACAGAGGGCAGACAAACTTTGGAAAGGGGTCTCACACGGCGGCAGGCGAAAGCAGAAAGGTTTCTTCAGCTGTAGTGCAATTACAGGCCGCAGTGTGGTGGCTTCAACAGTTCAAAGGCGAGAGACAGCCAATGGCATTCTTGCGATCGAGCGGCCGTGGTTGGGGCGACGGGGGTTCGTATCGTTTTATGTAAATACGTTCGACAGGCACCCGTTTCGTCATCACTGATGTTTCGTGGAAACTTGTTTCGTGAATCGCATGCTCCTGTAACGCTAAGGAGGCTTCACTTTGCTCGTTGGCGTATAGTTGTGCCTGTTATTGGGGGTCCTCGCGGCCATTGGTTGCATCTCTGAGGGGCCCATGGGTCCCAGCGCTGGTCCTGGGCCAGAACCGCGAATGGTCTAAGTTCGGCTTACAACAGGCCGCACTCTGCGCTATTACCTGGGAAGACTATAATGTCGGGCTCGAGCTTATGGCGAGCAGTTGGAACCCTCCAAGTTCGACAAGCGACCAGTTGAAAAAAAAAAAAAGGGTTTGGTGAAACGTCACAGGGTTGCTGGCTGGGAGACGTCGTTTTCTCGTGTTTACGCGAAATGCAGAACAACTTTACGGCTTTAGAAATGCCTATAGTAGTCCAAATAAACGTGCTTTCTAATCATTTCATCTCACATTAACACAAGGAGCGTTTCAGTCGTCTGTCGTTCTTTACGGGGTGATGGGTAGTCACTTGGGCGTGAAGGTAATGATGTTAAAATACCTGAAAAAAAAATACTGTAGTTCTTTTTTTTTTTTTTTTTTTTTTTTTTGCACACGCCGAAGCCATCACGTATACCTATGGTATAGTGGTTTCGAGACGTACGCAATAACGACTACCGCAGTGTTTCTGGCGTAGTAGTTGGATCAGCGTCATACGCCGCCTAAAGGCTAGCGCATGAATCACTGAGGCTTGTTTAACCAAGCCTCGCCTCGCCTCGCCCCTCCCCTTTCCTTCTTTCTCCCCCCTTAAACCAGTCGATGCGACGTACCTTATTTTCTGGGCTATAGTCCGCGGACTGTACATGTTTAAAAGTTGAAATTTTAGGCTGTGCAGACTACTAGTATACAGGATTTTTGTTTTTCAAAATCGTTAATTATGACGACACGAGACGGATTTTGTGAATGAAAGAGTATGTTAATGATGATTTATGTATAATATAGGCTTCTTTGTGAGCTAAAAGAGCAGACATTTGTTAAAGTGCGCCGTCTATGAGAAGATTTTCGTGTCGAATAAGCACAAGGTGCGGACTATGCACTGGGTGCGGACTATGTACCGGGTGCAGATTATACACAGGGCGCAGAAAAGCAAAATCTTTTATTTTTGACTCCAAATTTGCCCCTGCGGACTATAGACCTTTTCTGCGTACTCTCGTCTTCAGCCACCCAATAGGCGTATAATAGGCGTATCCGGTATGGGCGATGAAAAAATACTAAAATGTTTGAACCTGTAACTAGTAAAAAATAAGGGGGAGGCAAAAGGATAATGTGTGACGGTTACGCTTATATCCTAAGTGTCTTCTACTGGCGTGGCGAAGGCAACACAATGTTTTCGCCCATACTGGAAGTGACGACAATTCAAGATGGTGGCGCCCTTGAAGATAGGATCTAAACACCGGGTAAAGACTATAGTCCGGAAAATACGGTACATAGAAACACGCCGCTCAGAAGTGTTGAAATTGGCCTCTTTTACTTGACAAGTTTCTCCAAACACTTGGTCGGGGCTGTGTGTCCCCTTGTGCATTCCCTCCAACCAGGACTCGAGTGGAACCACACGGACCTGGTGCAGAACTACGTAAGTGACGCATTGCGCTGTGCCGCCATCTTTCTGATTGGGGTGCGCTTGGGCGCGGCCATAATCCGGTTACGACGCCTTAGCAAGGCCTCGTAATCGAATTATGACGCGTCCAAGCGCACCCCAACCGAGCAAAGACGGCGGCACCCTGAAACCGGACTTGCAAACGTGAACATTATCGTGGCCGCAGGCACCGGAGGCCAGCTACGACTTCAACGACGACGACGGAGACCCTTTCCCCAGATACGACCCGCAAGACTTGAACAAGTAAGACGTATACGTTAGCAGGTTTTCCCGAGTTTTTAAACAAGTGGGCCGGCTTGCAGAAAACAGAGAGCTCTTACTGCGTGAAAGAAAGCAGTCACAGCTATAGTGCACGGGCGGAGCGGCACGTGAACTCGAGTCTCAAGTGCTTGCTAACCCCAGGCCTTGACAGGCATTTCTCTCACAGCCGCAGTCCAACTGCTCGTAGTACATCACACAAAAGACAAAAATTGTTCGCTGCAGACATGACGACAGAATTATGATAACACTGACTTTGTTTCCCATCCGAGCGATGTGGGAGGTTGGGGAAACAAAGCTGAGGGGATCAGCTTGACGACCTCCCTCCTCCCGAGCAAGTTATTGAAGCGTATCTTTGGACACGCTTCAATCACTGTTCGAGGCATGGTTTATTCATACGTATACGTATAAGAATCCGAACATCTCTGCAGAGAGTTTTCCGTATGACCAATATGAGATAGGACCGCCACACAAGGATGAAACACGCCCCAGACTGTCTGCAGGCTGCCATAATGTCTTCGACCAATTATCAGATTGATCGCGGCTTAGCTGAGACGGCGTTTTCAGTAGCAAGCCGGTCCGGTGTCATTCTTGGTGTTCTTTCTTTCGTGGATCGAGATATTTCTTGGACAGTACACCGAATTTGTCAGTACGCCCCCGTATACTCTGCAAATGTTTGTCTCTCGATGGGCTAAGAGCGTGGCCCTTCCCGTTGTTTCTATGCGTCTTGTTTTGCCCGCGCAGCCACGGCACTCGGTGCGCCGGGGAGGTGGCTATGGCAGCCAACAACCGCAACTGCGGCGTGGGAGTCGCCTACGAGGCCCGGATCGGAGGCAAGGAACATCGTCTTTACAGCGCGCGCACGGCTGTCGCTGTTCCGCGAGCTGTTGGACCAGCGCGGTATCGTGATGGCCCGGACGCGTATTAGGAAGAGCTTGCGAAGTATTAGTCGACGGACCCATTTCGGGCCTTCTGGCTGGCGCGTTTTCATGTACGGTAAACTGCCTGGTTTACTAGTGGAGGGTAAAGAGGGGGGGGGGGGGGGGGTTGGCTTCGGCGAACACGCCTCAGTGATTCACGCGCTTTAGTTCTTAGCCGGTTTCCGGGTATCGATATGCTATAGTAATCAAATTTTATGGGAGTCGGATAAAGGTGCACACGTGAATTACGAAGGCGCGTTTGTCTAAGCCTGCCCGTCTACCCCCCCCCCCCCCCCCCCTCTTCCGTAAACCAGGCCATGTGACGTCTATGAAAACGCGTCAATCAGAGTGTAGAAATGGGCCTGTTGATTTACTTCAAAACCTTTTCCAAATGCGCGGCCCGCACTCGTCTCGACTGCCAAGTAGAGCGGGACCGCGTCGTGCAGGCATTCGCATGCTGGACGGGGACGTGGTGGATGCCATAGAGTCGACGTCGCTGGCCTTCAATGTGGAGGGCATCGACGTGTTCAGCGCATCCTGGGGTCCCTCGGACGACGGACGAACCGTCGACGGGCCCAAGAGGCTGGCCAGCGAGGCCCTGCGCAAGGGCGTCACCAAGGGCCGGAGAGGTGAGCCCGGCTCGGGACCCGCCTCTCTAGTCGAATCTAGCAACCCAAGCAATGAAGAGCGTTTAAAGTTTAATGGCCGACGCCTCCAGGGCGGGTGTGTCGCTAGTACCCTATACCCTGTTGCAGGTTAAGAGAAGTGGTACAAACTCGTCCCACGAAGCCCTCCACGCTTTCAACTTTAGCAGACCGAACGCTGGAGAGGAGACAAGGCACAAGTTCAGCCCACTCGTCTCCTCTCCGGCGTTCGCTGTGCTATAGTGGAAAGTGTAGAGGGCGTAAAGGCAGAGACGCTGGCAGACGACCAAGGTTTTCGTCACCTCTTCAGGGCTTTTATTGCAAACGCAGCTTGTAAACCACACGAATCCCTATCGGGCAGTTGGAAACACTCTGAAACCCAGGGACACTAGCCGGACCTGCAACCACTTGCGCAGGTAGAGGCTCCGTTTACGTCTGGGCATCCGGCAACGGAGGCGCCCGCGGAGACAACTGCAACTGCGACGGCTACGCCAGCTCTCCGTACACGCTGTCCGTGTCGAGCGCCAGTCAGCGAGGGCGCTTCCCGTACTACGGAGAAAAGTGCGCGTCCACCATGGCAGCCGCGTACTCTTCGGGCGCCTACACGGACCAGAAGGTGGTGAGTGGCGAGTCGGACCGATACCTCCTAGAAGACGAGGCGTGAGACGTAATCGTTTGTGGATGCTCGCCGGTCCCTTCCTTCCACGTGACGTGCTCGCCTGTCTGCGCAGGCCACGTCGGACCTGCACGATCGCTGCACGACCCAGCACACGGGCACGTCGGCGTCGGCGCCTCTTGCCGCCGGCATCGTGGCCCTCGTGCTCCAGGCCAAGTGAGTGCCGACCGTAACCGCTGAGCGCCGAACTCTGCAGCGACCTGCCCTCAATGTTCGAGGTGTTTCCGAAAATAAGTAAGGAAACACGTTACTCATTACTTGTAAATAATAGGAACAAGTGGTGGAACTGACGAGGGGGGATTTGGAGCAGGTCTTGTAGCAGGGAAAAACGGGTTTTGGAGCAGAGATTCCCACATTTAAAGCAGACAATTTTGAGCTTTAATGTCAGAAAAGATTGTATAACTTCTTTAAAGCGGCGATGCAACGATTTTTGTATTTTGCGCAAACACTGCTTAGAACGCATCCCTGGCGTTAATAACCTGTGAAATACCCGTTCGTTTTTCACCACACGCAATCGAAGTCGCAGAAACAATTAAAGAAAAACGAGCAGAGTTCAACCCCTCAACTCGCAGCCAGAGCAAGCGGCCTCGTGATCTGGAGCCGATTATATGCCACCAATGTAGATCATAGCCATGCGCTTGGGTTGGCAAGACACAGGACACGCGCCGAGTTCCAGACATTGTTATGGTTCGTCTGTTGTCTACACTGCAACGATTGGACACAGGACACTACCCGAATGCTTCTCGAGCTATCGATTATCACGAGCCCAAGTCGAGTGCCCACGCCATGCTCGGGTCCAATCTATGAACAGCATTCAAATATCATCACTGGGCGGTACTGCTACTGCCGAGCTACGTCATCAGGTTTTGCGAAGGAGAGATTGAATGAAAACACTCGGTTTTGTCATCGAAATTACAGCGCAACAAAAGAGTTTCTTGGTCAGTGGCGTTGCGTGTGAGTATCCTTGAGTCCCACTAGTGCCAGTAAGCTCGTGTAAAGTGAAAAACATTCCAATTGAATATCGTTGCACCGCCCCTTTAGAAGTTAGCCTGTGGAAAAAAAAAAAAAAACAACTACAGTTGTTGGAGTGTTGGGAGACAATTTAAAGTGCCATACGTACAGGGGACCCGGCCGCTATAGAAATTAATCTATTTATTGAACAATCATACGCCGATAATTTTGCGGATGTCTCAACTACCCTTTTAGGCGTACCGATGGCGTCTTCGGTCTGTGATTGACGTAAAAAGATATTCTGGCTTCTTTGTGGGGTTTGTATCACGCGAAATAATGGACTTAGGGTTCAAAGCGCATTCAAATTGAATACCGTATATGTTTTGGTCGAATATTTCTGAATCAAATATTAAATAGTTGCGGCACCTTCCCCATGCCTTTCACTACTGTTAGACCACATAGGCGGAAAGTTTTCACTTTCCCGCATAAAGGGCGGGAGGGGGAAAGGGCAAAGCTGAAGGCCCCCCCCCCCCCCCCCCCCTGGGAGATTCATTACCAAGATACGAATGCAATGTCGTCTAGCAAATAATTATTCGAAATTAATCCTTTTGCAGTGCAACAGAGTAATGAGAAGTCAAGCTCTAGACACAGGAGCAGCCGAATAAATATACGAGTACGTTTAATTTAGTTCTGTCATCTTGTCTGTTTTGACCGCAAACATTCCTCTATGCATAATACTCCGTCCTAGTACTAAAGTAGCAATTACTATCGCTTTGTTTGTGATATTTCTGGAACAGTATTAACATGCGAGGTCCCACCTCACTTCATGTCTCAGATGTCGGAGTTGATGGGGACGAGGACAGTGAGAGTATCGAAGACAGATATACAGAAAAAGACACAAAGGATTGTATAAACAAAAGAAAAAGAACGCGAGGCTTGCTTGATGCTGGCTTGGCTATCCCCTGACAAGAATGCCGTATTTTTAGCCCACAATGCGAGAAGAAAATAAGGCGATAGCATGTAGCACGGTCACGCAATGCGGGTGGAAGGGTGCCGTCTCGTATACTGAGGAGGGAAGTGCGGCGTGGTTAATTCTCACAGCCGTCGTGCATGCCACTGACTACGGCCACCAGTGATCGGCGATCCGTGAAGTGGGTAAGCGCGGTGGAAGTTTCTAAAACCGTCCGACGTTACACGCAGCAACTGAATACTCCCAAAGTGGGATTTCGCATAACGCGAGTAATGTTTGAAAACAAGTCTTTCAGGCAGACGACACGAAGAGTCTCCTTTCGTCTCGGCACTCTTGCCGGGACGCCAGGGCTGCCCCGACTGCCTTCTCCTCGCGGCAAGAGAGGAGAGAAAAATTTTTCCTTTCTCTCCACGTGCGGGAAGTGTCGCCCACAGTCACGCACTTTGTGCCACCAAAAGTGGCGATTATCAATGTTGCTTGACTGACTTTTGAAGTGCGTCTATTGTAAGGCAGCCGAGCTCCTTTTCCGTAATTTAATTGGACAAAAGCGCCGTCGCGATTGACTTCGCCGAGGAAGTCTATTCCTACGACTTTTCTGCCGTCTGCAGGCCTGTTTTCATTGTTATATATATTTTGTTCTCGCATGGCATAGTTTCCCAAAATGAAATTTTCTGAAATTCGTCAATGGAAAAATAAAACCCATTTTCAGCCGGCTTTTTTTTTTTTTTTTTTTTTGGTTTTTGGCGCCATAGAGCTTTGTATACTATGCGTGTAGAATGCGCGCGTCATAGCAATGGCCTCTCAACAAAATTGACATAAAAGGAAAAAAGATGTACGAATAATCACAATAAACGCACAAAGTATTCTAAACAAAGCACCGGAATTGGAATATATTATTATTCAGCATGATCCACATGTTATTGTCGTAACCGAGACTTGGCTACATTGTAACATTGCCGACTCCGAGGTGTTTCCAAGGGACTATAGCGTGCTTCGGAAGGACAGAGAAACTAGAGGAGGAGACGTTGCCATTCTTATAAAGGACTCTCTAAAGTATGAGGCGTTGCCTGGTATTAACGACCATGAGAGCGTATGGTGTAAACTAATCCTTGACGAGATGGTCTTCTTAATTGGTGGCGTGTATAGGGCCTCGGGCACTGGAATTAATTTCCTCGAGAAAATAGACGTTTATTTAACAGCTCTTATGAAAAACAGAACTAAAATTATCGTAACGGGCGACTTTAACCTGCCACATATTGGTTGGCACGAACTAAGCCCAGGCAGAGCGGTTAGATTACATGGAGAATATTTGTTTGATATAATACTTAAATATGGACTGACGCAGGTAGTTAACGAACCAACCAGAATTCAGGGATCATGCCAATCTGTATTAGATATCTGCCTGGTATCTGATTACTTTTCGAATTACAAAGTGTGCGTAGAGCACGGAATTTCAGATCATAAAATGGTTATCTTGGCTCTAGAGTTAGCCAGTGTACGCTTTCAGAAAACGGACCCTAAAATTGTTTATGATTTTTCACGAGCAGACGACACATCAATATTAGATTATCCCGAACTATCTCTAGACCACATAGATAAAAATAATGACGTAGATTATTTGTGGGGCTATTTCTCAAAAGCAGTCGCCTACTGTCTTGCAAGATTTGTTCCGAAAAAAACAATAAAAGGAAACAAGTCTAATCCATGGATAACACGGGACATAATTCACCTTAAACGTAAACTAAAACGAAAAAGAAAGCAGAAAAATAAAAAAATAAGAACGCTTTAGAGATTGCTAATCTAAGCCGTGAAGTACGATCAAAGGTCAAGGCTGCTAGAACAGAGTTCCTTTCGACTACCTTGAACGATTACTTAAGGGACTCGCCACGCAGATTCTGGCAGTATCTGTCATGTAAGGAACATAGAGTTAACGAAATCATGAAGGATGAAAAAGTATGCAGCAATCCAGCATTTGTGGCGACTGAATTTACTAAGTTTTTTCCTTCTGTTTTTACCGATGATAATGATCGTGGAAGCGTCATAACTAATATTACTGGTCTGCCTGAAACAGAGATTGTTGTCTAATATGAGGGTGTTCTTTCTATGCTACTGAATATCGATGTAAAAAAAGCACCGGGCCCAGATAACATTCCAAATGAATTTTTGAGGCGTTACTGTCTAAGAGCTGCTGACTTTCTAGTACTTATTTTTCAAGCGCCATTGAGTCAGGGGAGGCTACCTGAGGACTGGTTAGTTGCGCGAGTAGTCCCTATTCATAAATCCGGGAGTCGGCTTGATGTCGAAAATTATCGGCCAATATCCCTTACTTCTACTGCCTGCAAACTCCTGGAACATATTATTTGTAAACATCTCACAGACTTCATCGAACAGAATGGTCTGTTTTACGAAAAACAACATGGTTTTAGAAGGAAGTTATCAACTGTCACCCAGTTATTTGAAGCGACTCATTATTTCCCATCTGTTTTAAATGAGCGTGGCCAAGTAGATGTGATGTCAATTGATCTGTCAAAAGCATTTGACCGAGTCACGCACTCGAAGCTGCTAAAAAAACTGTTGGATTTAGGGGTAAGTACGCCTATTGTTTCTTGGATCAAATCTTACTTGTCAAACAGATTTCAATTTGTTGAGATCGCGAGGGAAACTTCCACGCTGCTGCCAGTCACTTCCGGTGTGCCTCAGGGCTCGGTTTTGGGACCAATTTTGTTTCATGGGTATATAAATGACATTGCAACTGAAATTCATCCATCTGTTGAAGTCCGCCTTTTTGCAGATGATTGTCTAATGTACATCAAAGTTAATTCACAACGGGACCAAATGCTATTAAATGACTCGTTAATGACTATGCACGAGTGGTGTCACAAATGGGATATGAAGATAAATTTTGAAAAGACAACTTTTGTAACAATCACAAAAAAGAGGTCGCCTAATATATTTCCGTATTCCTATAATGGTGCACTTTTGAAACAACCCGAAACTTTTAAATACTTAGGGGTCACAATTTCTAACGATCTAAACTGGACATATAGAAAATGTCTGTAGTGCGGCTTTGTGAAAACTTGGGTTTTTAAGATGGGCGCTCAAAAATACAACGCCTGAAGTTAAATTATTTGCGTATAAGACTCTAGTTTCATCATCTCTTGAATACGCGTACGTGATCTGGGATCCATATGTCAAATATCAAATAGAACAACTTGAGCGTATCCAGCGGCGGGCATTAAGATTTGTTTATTCAGAGTATCGCCGCACGGAATCGGTAACAGAACTGTTAAAAAAAGCGGGGCTAAAATTAAAAAGCGGGGCTAAAATTAAAAAGCGGGGCTAAAAAAAAGGTTAAAATTTTTCTATCAACTCTACAATGCGCATTATAACATCAGTTCGAGTGACTATATACAGCTTCCTGGTAGAAGGTCCCCGAGAGTTAATATTCAGTTTGGAGTCAAGCCGTATTTACCAAATCTCGATGTTTTAAAGTACTCTTTTCTTGTAAGAACAATTGAGAAGTGGATTAGTTTGGATGGCGACCTCTTTGTTGGGATTGGCAGTGCCGGTAAGTTTGAAGCTGTATTATTTGATTTATATGCGGAGACATACTAGTATTCCTTGGTGGTGGTGACTTTCGGTGGTGCGGTCCAACCGAAATTGTACTCAAATGATTGTATTGCGGTGATTGTTCTTGATCTTTGGTTCTTTATTTCTGTTGTTTTATTGCTGTACAGTCCTGAAACAGCCCGAAAGGGCTTTCAGTATTGTAAATAAATAAATGAATAAAATAAAAGGTCCTCCGGCCGCAATTTGCGAGCCACATTCAAATGTTTAGAAAATCACTTCCAACTTTTTAATGAGATAACGGTTAACGCTGAAACTTCGGCATCTGGTTCGAACCACTAGGGCTACATTTAAGTGGAGAATGAGCGTTCGGTGACACACAGTTCATTTTTGCGGTGAATAAAACCTTGTAAACTTGCTTTTTCGAGGAGCTCCGTGGGGGGGGGGGGGGGGGGGGGGGGGGGGGGGGAAGGGAAGGTTCCAACCCCTCTGTAGTCGGCGCCTATGTTACTCTATACTTAAACGAAAATTTATGTTAAATTTAGTCTAGGTAAATTTATAAACTGTGGTCTCGGGAAGTGCAATACCTACATTGGAATGGAAAGTAAACGACAAATTTGACATAAAATTAAATCTGTAAAGGAGCCCAGCCATACATGATTGAGGGGATTTATAAATTTGCTATTTTCTTCGATTATGAATTCAAAAGAAAAAATCAAAACAAGCACGAATAATGGGCACAGGTTGTTAGAACATCGCTGCCTAACATGTACCCTTGCATGATAGCTACAGCTAAATTTGAATGATTTTACTGCAATGTAATTATCAACAACCACAACGTTCTTTCTTTTAGTACATGAGGCGCGCGCGTGCACCAGAACATTTTGAAGGTGATTTTCGCCGCTGGACCGAGGCGAGTCGGGATATCGCGTTGCCAGCTCCGCATGTAGTGCTTCTCCGCAGTGTGAAAGTGCTTGAGGAGAAGCGCACTCAAGGGGGCCAACCCGCCGCGCTCAACATTTCGAAAACTAGGAATATCGCAGTTCATTTTGAAGAGAATATCAAATAGAGTATTATTTGAAACTACTATTCAAATATTTGCGCAACCCTACTATTCGCACGTCGTACTGAGGTATCTGAATAAAAAAAACTGTACTTAATTTTTAGTGGCATCGCCAACGGGTGTAGCCCGACCGAAACAACCCATTCACGTTTGAACCCGTCCCGTTTCAACCCATTCCCTAAACGCCCTTCCCATTTGAATCCGTCCTGTCTCAAACCGTTCCCGAAACATTCCCTGCGTTTGAACCCGTCCCGATCTGCTAAAAATCTTAGCTAAAAACCGTTGTCGTTCTAACCCTGGTCTGCGCTAATAGCTTTGATTGTATGAGATGAGCAGGAAAAACCGACGATCACTTGTTCGCGCTAAGGCTGCCTTCGGACTGGAGTTTAAAATCGCAACCGCGAAGCGGATCCATTCGTTTTCATTATCAACTGCGAGTGCATTTGTATTGCATCTTCAAGCAACCTTGTTCGCAACCGCTTTGCGGATGCAGATGAGTCGCCAGTGTGGTACTTTGTACAACAAGGAAGTCTTGTAGAGTAACGTACGAAAGCACTTTAACTAAACTAAAATTAGCGTCGCGATAGGATTTATACCGCGACGCTATGCGGGGCGCAAGTTCGTCTGCTTCTTTTGCTGGGGTTGTGGTGACGTCTGATTGGCTCTGATTGAAGAATAGTGGGTAGACCTTAATGCTAGCTACCTTGAGGTCTACCCAGTATCCTTCCAATCGAAACAGACCATAGTTCGGTGTCGTTCCGATGTTACCGCAACTCCTGTGCAAGAAACAGATGACTTACTCTCCTCATTTTTTAGGGTACCCAATGCGCCTGCGTAGGTTATTCTGAAACTCCCCACTAGTGAACTACTATGAATTTCGGAGAGCGATAAATCAGACAAGTTAAAAGGCGTACGATTGCGACTTAATTTTTTTTACAATTTCAAATACGCGCACACAGAAAAGATGATAGACCATAAAGTACCTTCGCCCTGATGAGGAAGTCGAACAGGGAAGTCGTGCCATCAGAGAGGCGACAACCTAATAATGATAGTTTGCGGTCCTTGCTGACCCACTTGCGACCCCAGGGCCGCACGACACCACCGTTCGCAAGCTGCCGAAAAGATATCCGTAAAGGCCCCTATCCCATTTGATTAGATCGAAGAAACTGTAAATGTTCGGGTGAGCCCTCCCTGACACCGCGTTTATCTTAACGGTGCTCCATGCGGTTGTTGGTCCGTTGTCTTCGGATTCCGTGGTGGTTCCGCTGTTGAATAGAAAAATGGTCATTCATCAGGTGTCATCAAACTAGTCAAGCACGAAGGAAGACGTCCTGCGCCGGTGAGAGCGATAACTGCTACGCTCGTTTCCAGCACTGCAGGCACCGAAACACCAGAAAGTGTGCAAAAAGTGACTGCTGGTTATAAAATCTCCAACATTGTTTCGGGAGAGGGTAACATCAGGTCATCCAGGAGGACATACATTGTACGGTCGGTTTGTTCGTTATAAGCTGGACCAACGTATAACGAACAAACCGGCACGACTGATAACGAGCAATGGTCGAAGGGGGAAGGTTGTTTCGGGATAAGGCGAAATGGAAAAAGGTGAAAGGAGAACGTTGTTTTGAGCCGGATCGAAACGGGAAGGTTGACATGTGAAAGGGTCAGAACAAGAACTACCCTCGCCATAATACCACGTGCCAGAAATTTTTGGTTTCCTTTTCGAGAACAGCTCCTTTTGTCACATACATGGCGCAAATTATGCAAAAATGGGGGGATCGGTGCCCGAGTGGGCTGGCGCACACCAGCTCAGACCACGTGGAGCGAAGCTCGCGAAAGCTCGCGTTGCAGAACCCAGGGATCCCGGGTTCAATCCCCACTTCTGCCCGTTTCGATCTGGATGAGCATCCTACCGGCGTGCGGTCGTGTATCACTACTGCGTGGTGCACGTTAAAGACCACAGGCTAGCGGTGGTCTCCACTGGCTAAATTTGCAGCTGGGAGATTCGTAGCCCGTTGAGGCAGACCAAGTTCTAGGCTGTATAAACATACACGCAGCCCAATTTTTTTTATGCAAAAATACAATTTTCGCAGCAGCATGTAGTAAGTTGCTCGTTCCGGCACAGTTTAACGCAAATAGTGCAGCAGTTCTACCACTGAGGAATGCATTAAAAACATACGTTACTTTTCAAAAAAAAAAAAGCGTTAGTATTACCGGTAGAAAGTGACGCGCGTTCATTTTAATTTATGAAACGACAACGTTTAAATATGAATCATTATTCGGTAGTTTCTCCGAATTTCGTGAAGCCGTGGCCTCTGACGCCACATGATTGATTTAACGAGAAAATTGACGTCACGTGACGTCAACACCAGTTCAGTTTTTCCACTAAATTTAGCGGGAAAAATGATGTCACACGACTCTATCTCACGTGACCTAAACACAAAATCAGTTTCCCCGCTAATTTGAACGGAAACATTGACATCACGCGAACTATACTTAAGCTGTTTTCCCGCTAGATTTAGCGGGAAGATTAACGTCACGTGGTTTAGACATACATTTACCTTACCCGTTAAATTTAGCGAGAAAATCGACACGTGTCCGGCAGCGGGCCGTAATTCCCCAAACTCAGTGGACACAGGCCGACCCGGCGGGGAAAGTCAATGGGGTGGAGAGGAGTAATTGGAGACACCTGGAGGCACAGCTCAAGAAAAAAAAAAAAAAATGCCTGGAGGCTACTACTTCTAAACAAAGAGTGTTTCACATAGCAACACAATTGCTGAACAATTTGCGATGCATTTTGCGATTCTGGGAGAAAGGGCGTGGGCGTTGTTTTTCTTCTTCTAAAGTAGGAGCGTTTACGTGGGGAAAAGAGAGAAAAATATTGAATCTATGTGCAATGGGAGCAAGAATTCAAGTTATGTGCAATGGCGCCTAGAAACACGAAAAAAATAATTGAAGTCTAATTTTCTTCAAGTTTCGGAAAGAAAACGTAGCGAGTAACATATAGCTATATTACTTGAAAAAAAGTAACGTAAGTTTGTTATACTTCACTGTTTTAAAAACATAACGGGCATGTTACTACGCTACCGAATAAAGTAATGCTTCACCGGTCACGATCGACGTTACTTGGAAAGCGTTGCCGCCAACACTGCCTGCTCCGTGGGCGCAGCCCAGGCCTCGGATGGAGGGACGTGCAGCACCTCGTGGCCTGGACGTCAGACTTCGCGCCCCTGGCCGCCAACCGGGGCTGGCAGCGAAACGCGGCCGGACTGCTTTTCAACAGCCGCTTCGGGTTCGGCCTGCTGGACGCCCACGCCATGGTGCAGGCGGCCCTGAACTGGACCGCCGTGGGCCCGCAGAGAAGCTGCCTCCTGGAGCCACAGGTCCCCTTGCCGTTGCCCATGGAGTCCGGACAAGAGCTTCGGGTGAGCCCAAAAGGGGTCGACCTTTGGGTACTATGGTGATCGTAGCGTGCCTCCCGCTGAACCGTTTACCCAGTACCACCGGAAAAACCACCCAGCCCAGCCTTTCTCCCCCTAATTCCCGCCTCCCTTCCCCGGAAACCAGGCGATGTGACGTCCACGAAAACGTCCTAATCAGAGTGCCAAAAGTGGCCTGTTGAATTCCTCCACAAATGTTTCCGAATACGCTGGTGAAATAGGACGCTGAAAACAGAAGTCCATGTCTGCTTTTTAAGCGTCTTGTTCCGCCAGCCTATTCGCTGGCGGAATAGCGCCATTGAAGACCGGGACACTGTCGTACCCCGGGCTTCACCGATGTGCCACGCGCAGGTTCCCTTCTCGGCGGACGGGTGCGCGGTCTCCGCCCTGGAGCACGTTCAACTCCACCTGGACCTGGAGTACTCGCGGAGGGGCGTCCTGGACGCCTACCTGCGGTCACCGGCCGGTGAGTGACGGCCTCCTCGTCCTCCCGGCCCACCGAGATCTCACGTGCGCAGGTTCGGAGAGCGTGCTGCTGTACCGCCGAGCCAAGGACAGCACGGCCCAGGGTTTCCGCGGCTGGACATTCCTCACGGTCCACTTCTGGGGGGAGGACCCCAGGGGAGTCTGGACCTTCGTCGTCAGGGACAAGGTGAGGGCGGTCGCACTCTCGGCGGCGGCTTAAGGGATGCTGAACCGATATTTGAAATCTCATAAATATTGCCCGAGCGGGCTTCACGGGATGGTACGGTACCTAAAAACGATATTCAATCAGACGGATGGGGCCCGAATTATTGTATTTCTTTGGATGAAGAGCGAATCCTCGGCCGGAAGCCGCCGGCGCGAGCGAGTCCTTCTGAGAGCAGGCGTAGCGGAACTGACGTGCGCATTCTCGGCGCCCCCAGCGCCCCTGGTGCCTCCACGCATTCTCCTCGTTCGTTGGTGCTCGCCTTGATTCTTCGCTCGGCGGCTGTTCTCAAAGCGGCTGGTACTAACAATAACGAACGCCACCCGGCTTAGCGCCTGGCTTGGCTCCGTCTGTCTTTTGAGGCGAATGAGAATGCGCACGTCACGAAGCAAGCTTTCCACGACGCTCACCAGGGGTCGCGTAAAATTGTATGTTTCGTGTTTATTCAATTTTATACGCCTTCTCGCTCAAAACAACGTCATTTATAAGTAAAGGACATGCTATGTATGCCATTGCGACCAAGAACTTCCACCCAAAATTTCGGTTCAGCATCCCTTTAAGGCCCGTTCCCACACTTGCAACCCAATACGACCGAGACTGACAGGACCTCTTAAATTTTTTTCGGACGAGAGAACACACTGGCACCCTGATGCGCCATCTATGAGGTGACCCTGGAACTGCATTTCACAATAGCGAAGGTTTTGCGGGATTTCCGAAGTCAAATGTGCGTAATACCTATAAAAAAGGCTCGTTTATTAACGTTGACAAAAGTTTTTCGAGCCACGAAAGAAAGGATAATGCGCGAGATAAATAGAAAATATGTCGGACCGCCAAGTTTACACTGCTACCCAATAGATGGTGCTGCAGTGTGTTCTCTCGTTGTAAGAGATATTAAGAGCTTCCAAGACGCTCGGTTCTAAGAGGTCGCAAGTGTGAACGGGCCTTTACACTAAGCAATGTTACACCCTTAATCCTTTGACGGTCTTCTCCATACACGTACGGCGACGATTAAACATTTGAAAGTGGGTGCCTAAACGCGAAACCGAGCACAGCGTTTTTATATCCTTAACCTTTGGACGGTCGAGTTATTTTTACCCTAAAAAGATGTTTCCCAGGGGTCGGGGTTTGCTCTAAGGAAATATCCGAAGGAAAGGGTCAGTGCGCAGGTTCTCAGTTATCTAGCGGGAATACGTAGACTGCTTGCAAGCCGTTCAAGTTTAGCAGCATCGAATGGAAATATTGAAGGCGGAAAGTTTCCACCTTTCGTTCATACGGTTTCGGCGGTAAAACATGCGGCGGAGTGCCTGCCTAAACGCGATACCGAGCACAACGCGAGAGGTGCTGTTTATAAGCGTCCTATCAGCACGACGTTTCCCTTTGCTGTGGTGGCTATTTATAGTTTCGAAATTAGACGCTGCGCGCCGTGATACGCGCGAGATGGTAACTTCGCATGTCGGCTGCTCTGACGGTAGTGGCAATCGGAGTGCCGACCTTTCCTATTCAGACTTTTAATGTCTTTCAGAATTAAATTAAGAGAATAAGAGCTTACAGCCAACGCCGAAGCTTTTTAAAGTACTTCCCGTTCGGAATCTAAAAGCGCCAGAATGGAACCGTATAAAAGAAAGGTGGAAAATTTCCGATTCCAAACTTGAACAGCTTGCAAGCACTATGCGTGCTCCCGCTAGATAATTAAGAAAGAACCCGCTCAATAACCATTTATTTAGATTGTCCCTTTGGAAACAAAGCCCAACCGATAAAACAACACATTTTCGAAAGAAAAAAAAACACAAAAAACTAAATTGTTAAGGAGTTAAGGGTAAAACGCTGTTTCAAATGCTTACACCGATGACAACACCCGTTCAGCACCCTTATTTCGACCTAACACACCCTTCTCGATCGTGAAATAGGGAGCTGTTGAAGTGAACATCCTTCATTTTGAAGGGTGTAAAAAGGGTGTAAACACTGTGCTACGGTGGAGCGGGGTGAACAAATTTCTGAAAGGGTGTTTGCCATACTGACATCCTCTGTAGCCTATAGGTTGTTGTTGCTACAATCTTGAATAATTTTTGTCTTAGCAATACTTTTTACATGGACATTCCTTGAATTTAGATATATTATGCATTACGCGAAAATTCGACGAGAACAAAGCAACATACGTGTAATCTTCGTATTGTCGAAGGCGGCGCACCTGGAAACAAGTATATTTGAATTGATTATATAAGATACTATAGCTTAATGATTCCTGTCTTGTGAGTGACCCATAACGCCTGTATTTGCTGTCCCTGTGTATTCAAAAACTGTATCCGGTGCTCGTTATTCGTAACTTACAACTCGTAAAAAAATATCCCTAGGGGGCTGCTAAGATCGCCAACACCCCATCTTTCAAACGCTCACCAGCTTCCCGAAGGATGTTGGGGCTACACCAACACCTTATGGGAAGGGTGTTGTTTTAACTCCAACACCCCTGGGGTGTTAGCCCCGGAACTAGCTGATTTACATACTTAAAGGTGTAAAACTTTTTAGTGTGATCGGTTCTTGAGGGGAGTCCTTTCTCAGCAAGCTCAGGGACACTCCGGCGCGCTGAATGCTGTCTCGCTGTCCCTCTCCGGAACCCGAAAGCGGCCCCGGCACCAGGAGGAGCGCGGTGGATGGAGACACTACGCCGACGAGCTGCTCGCGCGTAGGGCGCTGGACCCTGTGCCCGTGAGTACCCCTCCCTCACTGCGGATGGTACGCCATCAGTACGGGCACCCTTCTGTGTGGATACGTCGCACAAACGACTTGTGCCCGATTATCCGCCGATCCGTTCAGAGTTAGAAGACTCGAACTGCGCAGCGTCACATCGTGACGACCTCACTATACAGGGTAAAACAAGGAGACGCCAGGCTCTTTAAATCAACCGGAAAATTCGGTTTCTTAACCTATCGCGCTACGACCTTGTGCAGCGTTGCCCACAGATGGTGCATTTTCTTTTTTTTGTAAAATTTGCGAAGAGCGAACTTACCTGAGGAAAAAGTAAAGAAAGAAAAAGACTTAGCTCGTATGGAAACGCAGCGACGCCACCGGTCTGCAAACAACACGGCGCCGTTTCGCACGGGAGACAAGAGATGGCGCAACAAACACCGCCAACGAACGAGCATACGGCGCCGAGAGCAGGCCTTTTTAGCAGACAATCTTTTCGACTCAAAAGCGGCGCGCGTTCCGCAGGCGGCGACAGTCGCCGAAACAAAAAAGACAGGCGCGGTAACAGCAAGGAACTGCAGTTCCTTGTCTGCAAAAGGGCCGGCTCTCGGCGTCGTCTGCTCGTTCGTTGGCGCAGGGGCGGCGCGAGAATTTTTTTTCTGGGGGGGCGCTGCATGAATATACTGAATTCGGGGGGTGGGGGTCTTGTTTTCGTTGTTTATGTTTACCTTCATAAATCTTTCTGCTGACGAGCAGAAATCTCACCTAAAGTATACTTACGCAATTGTGGAGGGCTTAGCGCTGATTATAGGCATCATCCAATAGAAATTTAGATCGAACGTTTTCATTGGATTTCGTTTAATCCATATTCTCTCTCTTTTGTACTTAAAATTCCCCTCTTTTGTTTCTTCTGTAATTAATCCAATTTAGTATAATGAGAACCTCATTATTTTTATGGCGTTTTGTTTGTCGCAGTGAATATCCAGATTATTTAAAAACATTGCAAACTCTAAAAGAATGTGTCCTTAAAAAAAAAAAAATGTTATCTTGGACGTGCGCAAGTTCGTCAGCGGAAAAACCACGAGGAGGATCGCACTGCGTTTTCAAAACGCAAACTTGTTCGATTCACTCGCCTGGTCCTCTCGACTTCATTTCTATGTAGGAAACCCACGAATCTCGACATGACTTATGCGTGACTGAGGTTTCGTGCTTTCTAAAGCCAGATTCTTTGTCCAGAGATTTTTTCCAGTAACTGCAGCCACAGCTGCCAAACGTGAATTTCTCATTCGCTTTGATAGAGAACATTCTACTGGGATATCAAAAAACGGAATCAGCTTGGGTGCTGTATCTAGCCAAGCAAATAACCTATACCAGTCAGACTGAAAGCTTACAGTCTTTTTTCTTTACTTTTTCGGTGGGAAAGAGTTCACTATCGGCTGCCGCGGCGACTCTAGCTGTCTTATACTTGGAAATGTCCAACTGACCTGAAATATCGTCGTTTCCCTCCGATGCGGTGCAAGTTCGTCTTGTCTCACACACGAAGAAGAAAACTCGTCGCTTTCACTGTTCCTTGTTCCGACGAAGGATGATGGACGTCGCTAGAAGCGCTGGGTAGGCCATCAGGAAGACTGTACGGATGGGGATGATCCTTCCGCTGCTGCTCGATCTCCAGGTTTTCTGAACCTGAAGAGGGCGGTTCGGAAGGGTCGCCGTCCTGCTTCTTGACGCGCTTGTTGGAAGACGAAAAAAAAAAAAAAATCTGCGGTTGATCTTTGCGATTTTGTGTCTCCTTTGGAGTCTTGAAATCGGGCTCAGCTGCACATGTTCGGTTAAGCAGCATAATTGTTGGGGCACTTTTTTCGTGTCCGTCATCCTGGTAACATTTGGCACCGAGGCTGAAAACGTAGCAGAGCAAGAATGGCCCTTGAAAATGGCTTGTTATGTTGAGACCGTCAGGGCCAGTTTGGTCCAGGTGATAGTTTATGGCCCCGCCCCTGGGACTGTCTTTGTATCCTTCTGAATAGTTTCCAAAGATTCTACTGGGGAATCCCAACAGACAAATAGACAAACCGGCGTTGTTTCCTACGGCCTCGCTTAGAGTCCCGCTCACCTCTTTCCCCCTTGCTTTTGACCTTTCGTGTTTTGAGCAGCAGTGCACTCGATGCCGCCGCAGGGCAAGCGGTGCGTTCCGCGAGCACTGTGGCCGCCGTGTCGCCTCCGATAGGTCGCGCGGCAATGGCACACACCCAAAAGAGGAAGAACCTTCACGTTTCCTAGAACAGATTACATTCCCCAGGAAGTCAGTGGAACAATCGAGGGCCCACTTACACCAAGACAATCCAATTGAAGGAAGGAAATTACGCTGGACGGTGGGATGATACCTACAAGGTTGAACTCCTGGATCTCGCAGCCGCGCTATGGAGTGTGCAAGCCAAGGCATTAGAAAAATCCTTTCAGACGAACAGCGAACCGGCATCGTCTACCAAGCGAGGTATCTCTCACCTCTTTCCACCTTACTTTCGGCTTTTCCCGTTTAAGCAGCCATGCACATGGAGCCGCCGCGGGGCGGTGTAATCCGCGAGCAACATCAGCGCCGTGCCGCTGCTGAAGGTCAAGCGGCTATGGCACGCACCCAAAAGAGGGAGACGCGTCCGGATTTCGGGAATACTTCACAAAAACCAGAAAGCCTATTCTCGACGAAGGGGTCCTGCAGGGTCCGCTTCCACCGAAAGAAGTCAATCAAAGTTAGAAAACTACGCTAGACGGGAGTGGTATGTCTCTCGTAAAGCTGTTTCTTCTAAAAATAGTGTCGTACGTGCTTCTCTAATCTTATATTTTATTTGGCTGCTTTGGCTTCCAGGGACGGATGGCTGGCTTGAAAGGACGGATGCTCCGCGTCCATTGCTAAAGTGCCCGTAATGTGCGACGTTAACTTTCCTTTTGGGAAACCACTACCTTTGCTTTGCGGACTGAACTCCCCCCCCCCCCCCCGACAGCTTTTTTGGGGGGGGGGCAGGCAGAAATTTAGGGGGGGCAGCTGCCCACCCTTGCCCCCCTGTAGAGCCGCCCCTGCGTTGGCGGCAGTTGGCGTCGCGACCGCTTGCGCCATCTCTTGTCTCCCGTGCGAAACGGCACGGTGTTGATGGCAGACCGGTGGCGTCGCTACGTTTCCATAGGAGCTAAGCCTTTTTCTTTCTTTACTTTTTCCTCGGGTTAGTACGCTCTTCGCAAATTAAAAAAAAAAAAAAAAAAAAAAAATTCACCATCTGTGGGCAATGCTGCAAAAAGTCTTAGCGCGATAGGTTAAGAAACCGAATTTTCCGGTTGATATTAAGAGCCTGGCTTCTCCTGGTTTCACCCTGTAGAAGACAGCAAAATTGCCGGCTCCAAAAAGCGTATGAACTGCCGGGTAAATGAGCGAATCTATTCATAAATACGTGTTTCCTACGCAGCTGGAAATCAGCCATTGCTGTCCAATTAATGCACACACGACGCTGCCATGCTCTTGCACAATTCCTCTGAACCCGTATACCCTTACGCCCCCTGCCAGTCTGACGGACTCGTGCGCAGTGGTCAACGGCGTCTTGGTTACTGCTGCGCAGTGCTCTTACAAGAATACCTACAGATCCGGACCCGTGTATATCCAATCCGATGATGGATATCCGTGGATATCCATAAATGTGTGCTACCGTACAGTGTATAGACTGACTGAACAAGATAGCAGAAGAACGGGGATAGATTCTCCAGGATTTCCCGTAAGTCTGCTCGCTGATGCTGGTCAGCGCGCTAAAAATCATTTACTTGTCTACAAATCTGAAGCGTTCAGGGCAGGAGCAGCTTACTGGTGACGGAGATGTTGATTCACATTTGAAAAACAAGCATGTTGATATTTAAAAGTTCCGGAAACCTCAACTTTCGAAGCTTTGTGGAAGGTGAGCACGTTTTGGGCACCCACCACGTCGCTGTTTGTGGCAAAATATTTTTGAGGGTACTGAAGATATCGCGTGCGTTTGCACTTTGCCTGGCCGTTAGTGCTCTAAAACGTGAGTCGCGCACGGTGACCATTAAGCTTCGGAAGAACAGCGTCCACAGTACTGATGTCTTAGTGTTCCAGGCTCCCAAATTGCTGCTCACTGTCTCGGTTTTAGTGTATTGTAAGCCGCGCTATGACTATTGCTAGAAAGTATTAGGATAGCGGGACCGCAGACTACCGTACAGTGCAGCATTGCAACCGGAAGCCCGCCTTTGATGCATAATTTTGAGCGCGCGGCAGGAAAGTTGTCGTGCTCACGCTAGCCTGTGGTAATGGCCAAAATTGACTATTAAGGCCACCGGCGTGTTTAGGGGTTTTATTTATTTTTAGCTATCAAAAATAAATATTTGAGTATACCGTACATTTGAGTACAGTGTTATTTGCAACGTTGCGAAACTGCCCCATTTTAATCTCGTCTGAAACGGGTGCCAACACAAACGCGCTTAAAATGTTTCAAGCATTTCTTTATTTGCCTTTGTAATTACCTGGAAGCAAGTGCGGATATTCTGTCTTTTGAAAGTGTTTGGAGCAAATGGTCCCGTTCCTTGTAACAGCCTTAAAACGCGAACCTATTCCCGGTGTCTATTGCTCGACATACCCGTTGCGCGACCAGTTTTCTCCTACTTAGAGCAAAGAATAAACTTTTCGAACACCGCATACGGTAGAGCTGTCGACCACAAGACTAGACATCTGCAGCGCATGCGATATACAAGAAGTCTCTAATGAAATCAGACATCCCGGTCCCTTCGTGCAACGCTGCTGCGACTTCTTTTTTTTTTTTTTTTTTTAGAACCCTTTTACGCACGAACACAGCGACCAGAATCATGCGGTAATAGTAGCGCCAAGGCACCAAGGCCGACAGTCCCACCGTCTCCGTGCCACCGCCGCTGATGCCGTCCACGCTCCTCTGGTTCTCCGTTCGTCCGCCAGAGGGCGAGCGGCGGGCTCATCGAATGTACTGCGGGAGAAAACTACAATTTTAGATTTAAAAAAAAAAAAAAAGAAAGCCAATTGGAGAGAAAATTGTCCTTTACGTCAAGAAAGATTTGATTCTCACCAAACATAGATTGAGAAAGTTCTTTCTCGCCAAAAATGCTGTTCCTACAAAAAGTAAAGAATGCAGGAGCATCAGAAGCGTGTTCTTGTTTGGCAGGGAAAGAGCAGAAAACATTCTTTGGGCAGACAAAAACCAAAACGTACAAGCTAAAAGACAGTAGAAGACTTCTTCGCCTACAAGTATAGATAGAAAAGATCGAATTGGAGTGGTGGAACTTGCACCAGCACGAGTTTCCCCACCTTATTTTTATACAGCAGTTCGTACATGCCATCCTAGCATCAAGTGCACCAACGGAGAGAGATTTGCCGTCAGCGGGTATGAATTTAAGAGACGCAAACTGGTCTGAATCCGTCCATGTTGACGATATTCTGTTTCTTCTATCACAGTAACCTCGACAAGTGAAACGTTACGAGTGTTTGCGTTTTCTTTTTTTTCGACAGTTGACAAGTTGTTTTTAAGTGTATGGTTCTGAGCACGAAGTTGAGAGTTAGTGTTTAAAACTGAACCCGATAGAAGGTGCTACCAGTATTGGATATTGTGATATTTTCCCAGTGGTGTACTCGCGCCTTACCACATATACACGAGCACTTTGCTGCAGTGAGTGAGCACCTTTTCTCTTCAACTGTTTTATTGTTGGGCCTCAATAAAATGACACACTGCTATTAGTCTGTCTGTTATTTTTCATGTTTAGAAAATATGCGTCTGTTGGAAGTGGGTTTTACGAAGCAAAAAGGAAAATAAATATTAAAATGTCCTTCCTTTCGGGCGCATCTTCTGGACAGAGTGTCAGTGTCACAGACTGCCAAGACGATCTCATAACTGCGATCGTCTTTCCAGCGATGCAAAGTTTCTCTGGAAGGATGATAGGTTACCTATTTTATAAATATGATAAAACAGAATACGATTAACTGACATTCACCACAGTATGACACAAAGAGTTCTCTGTACAAGGGTAAGCAGACGGCTTAAATGATACCCTCCAGATGCTTTCTAAATTTTTTTATTCATACTTGACTTTATGATGTAAAATTAATGCGCAGATTTAGGGTCAGGTGCGGGCCGGATGCGGATACAATGTCTGCGGATGCGGATCGGGTGATCAAATTGTTATCCGCGCAGTGCTCTACTCATCTGCGATCCGGCGACACCGCCTATAGAGAGAAATACGTAGTGCTGAATTGTATGCTTCGCCTACCAAGGGCCACCGTGGAGCAGACATATGGAACACGAGTGCTACACAAGCGTTCGACTGTAATTTGCCTTTAATCAGTCAGACACGAGACACAGCCGAGGGCCGACCAAGCAGTCGTGTCCAATGCGCTCTCCTTGACTTGATTACGTAAACAAATTTTAAAAAAAAATACACTACAGAAATATGTTAACATAGGTGACAATCGAGGACTCCTGCTCTGTTTGTACCGGCAAGACCGCCCTCGTCTGATCCCCACACAGCTAGGAATGGCTTGCCGAGGGGTTCTCTTTGCAGGGGGAAACAAAAGTGCTCAGAGCGGCCGCAGCGAGTGGCATTGAGCCCGGCGGCGCTTACCAGCGGTCAGAGCAGACTTGTAAGGTAGTCATTACGAGTAATCAAATCACTTGTAATTCATTACTTTTTGGACTAACTTCCTAATCATCTGTATACACTTATTAGGAAGTAATCGCAAGATTAATCTCATTACTTTTGGAAGTACTAGAATGACTCGTAATCGCCTTCCTAATGGCGGAAGTATAAAAGGTTTCAATCTTCGAACTAAGTCTCTGACAGGAGAACGGTTTATTACCGAAATTAGTAGATTACGAAGGTAGACAGTTTATAATTCGGTGGTTTTAATCCAACGACACTGGAGAGTACAAGAGACCCGTCTTCAAACCGGCAAAGAAATCAGTCGATCTGAACATTTGAAGTACAATCGGAAGAGTAACGGTTCTCTTTTTCCAGTAACGGCCAATGACAAAGTCGGTTACAACGAAATAGCGGATACAGCGAAGTGATTTCCGATTCCCGATGACTTCGTTAGAACCGGTCTCGACAGTAATTGAGTAATCTAATTGAATACTCTTTAATCGAGAGTAATCGTAATTGATTACTTTTTTTGAGTTACGTGTACAAGACTGGGTCAAAGAGATTGCACAGCTGGCAGGAAACAAGCGGGTGTGGCGCGAGGCTCGTGTTACGTCAAAGAATTGCTCGTGCCCGCTGGGCTCTGCCTCCAGCCACGAACTCGTGAATCTCAGCTGTACCATTGTTTCTACGCGTCTCCCGGTTAAGCGGCGAGTCGTAACGAAGGCGGCAGCGATCAAGCGGGTCGTGGTACCCGTTTCCCCGCAGGAGTACGAGGACGAGCCGAACCAGGAGGACCCCCGTCGCTGGCAGCAGCTGCTCGGTCAGGTGTGGGCTTGAGCGAGAAGCAATAAGGCCCGGCCGCCAAAGGGCACCGAGCACCGAGGGAACCCCCCGCGCTCGCCAAACCACCGCCTAGGGACAGGCGAAACGCGGATGGCCTTTAGAAATTTCGTGAGACTTCGCTCAACCCTCGGACCAAGCATGGCCGAGCGACCGACAAGGTTGCCAGCCTCCTGTTTGTACTGTTTGCACCTACCGTCATAAAATCTGGCAGAGAAAGATGGTCTCCCTCCTTGGCCTTGCATGCGTGCTTGTTCTCTCTTCTACCTTACGATAGACCGCGCAGGACACCTGGAGCCATCGAAGCCAATGCGGAAAGCAAGTTGTCTGCTTCTTGAGCAGGAGTTGCGGTGACGTCAGAATGACGTTGAGCTCTGATTGGCTCCGATTGAAGGATAGTGGGTAGACCTCAAAGCAAGCTGCCTTGGAATCTTCCCACTATCCTTCGTTCAGAACCAATCAGAGCTCGGCGTTTTCACGTCACCACAACCCCTGCAAAAGGAGCAGACGAAATTGCGCTCCGCATAAAACGGCGTTTGAGTACCACGTGACCTTCCGGAGAGTAGCGGCGACGCGCGTGATCACGTGATGCGTTCACGGTGCTAGATTCGCTGGGATGGCTCGTGGCGCCCGCGCTGCGTTTCACAATAAGATGAAACGGAGTCGTGGTTCAACTAAGTTCCATTACAAGTGGGTAGGCGCAAAGCTAACTAACTGCCTTTGTCTCAACACGCTGTTCGAACGTGTTCTAAGATTGAGTGGGCACAAAAGCAGCTAACTCGGCGTCTACCCACCGATCCTTCCAACCAGAGCTTGGTGTTCCAACGTCCCTAAGCACTCAGGTCTCCTCTTCTCTCTAAATTTCTACCGACACGCGGAGCGACTCTGTTTACCAACACGGCCGCAAGGCCGCGCATGCGCGGTAGCTGTGTGGGCAAAAGCAGCCCGGCTCTTCGTGTTTTCGCCATTGCGTTTAAGGCGTGCGCTCGTTGTTGACGTTGTAGCGACGCTCGTATCTTTATTTGTGCGTCGTATTTCCTCACAACATATGTCGTATGCTATGCCCGACTATTTGAGCTCGCTGCCCGAGCCTGAACGGCAGCGGTATCGAAACAAACTGTGCGTGGACGGGGTTGCCTACGAGGATCCGTACGCCGTAAACAATGCCCGCTGGACTTTCGATGTAAAGTTGCTGCCACCGAAGTCGACGGCTCACGTCGTCGTTTATTTGTTTTTTTTTCGCTACGCTAGTTCACGGCCGACACGGTGTAGGCGTAGAAGTCTCGCGAGGCCTACGATAACTTCAAGTCGGTTTCCACACTGCCGACGGGATCAGCAGACTGTGGGTCTGCGGAAGTGTGTGTATTCATTAATTGATTAAATACACACAGCGTCTTCAAGTCGAGGTAGGATATTTTTCCTACCCTCATGACCATAAGGCATGACAAGCAGTAACGCTTTGTCCGTTGTGCAGTCTTGGTGGTAACAGGTTACAAGTAACGGCGTTGTTGGTAACGCGTTACTTTTTTCGGTAACGTAGTAACCTACTCGTTACGTTTTCGACACAGTAACGGGTAATGTACTTACGTTATTGCGGAATTGTAGTAGACAGTTTCCGCAGCCCACTAAGCACCCAGATAGCGCTCCGTAATCCGCCACAAGACCTCGAACTACACAGACAAGGCTGGCGGCGCGTATGCGCAGCTGTGGCGTTTTCTTCAGGGATACCGTAGCGGAGGAGAAAAACGGTCTACTACAATTCCCTATTATTTCAAGTAATGTAGTTACGTTACTCGTTACTACTTCCCAAGTCTTAAAGAAATTACGCTTCAATTTTGTTCCGTGTTTTAGGCGTCAAGCCATGTTTTTCTTTGCGTTTTTTCTCGTGAGTATTTAGGTGAAACCGTAAAAAGGGATCAAGTAATTATGTTCAGTTTCTGCATGAACATAATGTTTCTTGATATATTACCTGTATTGTCAAAACCGTAAAATGTGATAAATCACAATTTAAAAAAAGTAACGCAGAAGTAACGTGCGTTACTTTTTATCGGTAGCGCTAACGGGTTCCTTTTATTTTTAGGTAACGTAGCTCAGTAACGCGTACCTTTTATTTGCAAGTAACGAGTAACGTATTTCGTTACTTTTTTTTGCTAACGCCTACAACACTGTCGTTCTGTCGCCGATCCCCTTCTGCTGGGTAGCACGGGCGTAACGAGCCTCCGACGAGCGCTTGGCCGATGCTTTGTGCACGAACACCATGGGAACAAAATCAGGGTGGTCTCGATCAGACAACGGTTTCCCTGCACATAATCAAGGCTTGGGACGGAGATTGAAATAGAAGCCGCACTTGCCTTCAAGGAAGTGCTTGCCGCACAAACGGTCGTTCGCGCGAGGCGACCATTCTTTTCGATCCACGGATATTATCAACCTTCTATGCCTTTCAGAGGTTGCCGGGAACTTGTGTAAACTCACTCCTCTGCTTTTCTTGTACATTTCGGTGCAATTAACGGTAACTCAGCTTTGCGGCAAGCTAAAATGCTATGACGCCCATGCGAAACGTGCGCGCTTTTGCCCACACCCCCCGGCTCCGGCGCGATCGCAGCGCCGCCGCAGCTCCGTGACGTCAAGCCCGCGTGTCGGTCTATAGACGTAATAACCAAAAAAAAAAAAAAAAACTAAAAAAAAAGAAAAAAAAAAAAAAGCTTTTAGAGCCGTTTATATAAACCTTCTCGCAATTCCCCCGTATTCTCACTAAATCCCGAATCTAAAAAAAAAAAAAAAATGTCGTCGGAGTATCGCTGACTATCCTATACTCTAGCCGCAGTTTTATTCGTAAATACTTACTGTAAGGTAGAGTTACTACATCAACACGTAATAAAGTTTTTTTGTTTTATGTCTGCCGCGAAAGTTCCGCCCTAGAGGAATGTTTTTTCCTTAGCACTAGGGTGCGCTGCGGGAAAGCAAGATACGCAAAATCTCGATGCCTGCTCTGCGGTTCTCACTTCACTGCCGTACACCAGCGCGTGAAGAGAAGAACGGTTAACGAAACTCACTATCTAACGGACCAGAACAGACCACACAACTTTCGAGTACTGTCAGTGTTCGATGCAGAGATACAACCGAACAGTTTGTTAAATAAGGCGATAGTCTAAAGTTCCGAAAATTCGCACAAGCCTACTGTAACAATCCGGCCATGTATCGGGGCCTGTGCCCCGATACCCACGAACGGATGTTTAGTAGTTTTCTTCATCAATAAAGCGAAAATAAGATTTAGTGCAATGTTGGCGCAAACTTTCCTCACATTTTCACGAAATATGTGGCAGGATGTGGCAGGATGTAGCAGGGCAAGCACTTTGGCGCAAATGGCGTAGCAAGCACATCGCCGTTGGGTCCACCTCCGTAATACGAAACTGGCGTGGCGACGCACGTTAGTTGCGCGCATTGTCCACGTGGCAGCAGGACCGCTGGCGCGGAGATGCCTTCTTGATAGAAAGCCGAAACTTCAAAACGCGTCCAAATTGAATCTTTGTGTGTGTGTGTGTGTCTTTTGAACACCGTAAAATGCTTTTTGTGCCACATATTTTTTGTGAAGTACATTGATTTGGTGATTTTCGATGACGCCTAGAAAGAAAAAAAGTTACCAATTGTCTGTTGCTGTAGCCATACGATGAAGTTAGACGTTCACGTGAAGCGTCCAATGCAGGAGTAAAGAGGCCGCATCTCCACGTGGTGAATGATGTTGATTGGGGCGAAGCTCTGGTGGTGCTGATGATACTGATTTTATTGTTCATAGGTAGTGCTGATGGTACTGCTTTTTTTTATTGCTCATAGGTAGCGCTCAGTTCCTGGTTGCCGTTTCGACTTCATTATTACTGCTTTGTGGTGGGTGAAATGCAGGGCCAGTGGTTCTTCTAGCGGATCAGCTTGAATTCGCTAGAAGCCGTGGGAATGCATCTCGACCGCTTAAGTCAACGGTCCATGTCAGAAAGAGAATAGGTGTGTTCGATTCGGCTAGAAAGTTCTGAACTCGCTCTGACCGAGTTCAGAGGAGTGCAGGAGTCGTGCTGGGTGTCGTCTGAATCTGTTGGCTTTGGTTTCTCCCCGCCACGTTTTATGCAACACTTAATTCGTCGCGGTTTGATGAGACCATTCGTGTTTCCTTAGTTTTAAAGTATAATAACGGAATCTGTTCTGTGATTCTTTTTTATTCGCGTGAATTAAAAACGTTTTCTGCACGAAATGTGTTTCTGTCTGCATTTTTAACGGCCGTTCAGTCCCTCTCGTTTCCATTAACGTTTGCGTCCTTCACATTCATTTAGCAATAGTATATTCATTCCTTGCCTCTCGAGTTTCGCATTTCGACGATAAGTTCGCGGCATCAGGATGATTTTGCGTCGAGGGTCACTGGTGGCAGCGCGCGGTCGACTGCGGTCACCTCGAAAACGAAGGCCTGACGATAGCGTTTTGGCCAATACAGTTATCGACCGTAACTTTGGCGTCAAGCTGAAGCGTTTATATTGATTTTCAACAAAGACCTGGCTAAAACTACCAAGCCAATGCCGATTCTCGGCGTCGTTTTTCTTAGGCCCGTTAGTGGGCCCCCAGATACCAGCGGACAAAACATGCAGTATTATGCTCAGCTACGGGGCATGCGAGGGCCAATGTACTAAATCCCAGACCTCTGCAATGTATCGGAGTCGTCAGTATGCATCCAAGAGCAACTGAAGGCGGGGACTATCAGGAGTGCAATACCTTTCCCGTGTTGGTAAGGAAGAATATCAACACCGTGGATCCCCACATAGCACCAAAAAGAAACAATTTACGTGAGCCAGTATTTTAACACTTACCACAGGGAGCGAAACCTACACGACCAGGTGCCTAAAACGCTTTCAGAATATCATAATCAAACAAATTCATTATGGTCTCAATTCCGCGTCCACCGCGGTTACGTGATTATCATAAACGAGAGGAAATGCAACGTCCGTATCGGCTGTTAAACATCGCAGACATTTGAGCAAGAGCTGCGAAAAATGGCACCGCGAGCAGAGACGGACAAGGAGTGTCGCCTGCTATCGCCGTCTGCTCTTGTCGTCTGCTTCTGCACGGACGCTGAACTGACTCCGGAGCCGGTGCAAGATTTTGAGGAACTGGGTCTGAACTCGTTCAGAACTGGGTTGAATCGAACGCGCCAGTGCAGCGGCCGTGCAACTTCCGGTTGAATCGAATGCACCAGTTCCTGCACTCCTGAACTAGTTCAGCCAGTTCAGGCGAATCGAA